CTATTATGCATGGAACCGCAAAAATATAAGATGGATGAAACCCACATTCATGCATGAAGTGATAGAGCTAGAGCCAGGGTAGCTGGCTATAGCCATAGGACGACCATGCTATCGTAATTTCTACTTGATTATTGCATTGTCCATCACCATGTTTCCCTTCAAACTAAACCATATCTATAAAATAATAGGCAACTTCACGTGTCACGACTGTTTCTCTACGAATCGGAAATAGGAGGATTCGACAATGCAAGAAAACAAAAGCGCACACACGACGCGCAATTTACGTGGTTCACTAACACAATCTGTGTTAGCTAGTCCACGGGCAGGAGTGAGCCAGTTTCACTATACTTCAAGTAGATACAGATTACAGAGGAGTATGAGAAGTATTATATAATAGTACTTCTCTTAGGTCTAACTCTAATCCAATATGTTAAAGGAAACCCGTGACTTCCAGTCGTAGCGGCTGATCATTCGATTCAAGTCACATCAACATCACAAATCATGATAGAGACTAATGTATGCTGCAAAAAATATCTGAGGCTTACTTCTATGCAGTAATCCCATTGAGACCAGGGTCAGCGACATTTTATGTTCATGTGTTTGGATGTTTTAACAAATAGGTTTATGTACCATGCGAACTTCATTTGTAAAAACAAGTTTGGGTTGAGTTGTCCGCGTGTTCAGTTAAAAACATAAACACAGAAGTTGTGTATGAGCTAGTTACTATAATGGGGTAGACCTGTGCTAACTGCTAAGTATGCATATTTTTGGTGACTCACATGTTATTCATGTGTACATGCTCGAAATTCATTTCTAAACTTGTAGTGTAGTCTATATAATCAATCTGACTCTGATAGGTCACAGATGATGTATTCGTTGTGAAGAAATGGAAGGGGATGTCAGATTTAGGAAAAAATCCCACTGTACACATGTTTTTAAAAAAAATTCTCAGAATACACATGTTATGAAAAAAATTCCCAATCTACGCATGTTTGGGCCTTCACCGCGTCTGTCTAAGGCGGTGATTGCTTCACCGCGTTAAAGAAGAGCGGTGAGTGCATCACCGCGTTAGAGAAACACGGTGATTGCATCACCGCTGTAGAGGAAGGCGGTGATTGCATCACCGTGTTAGAGGAAAACGGTGAAGGCCTGACCTGCGTCAAATCTTTAAAAAAACGTAATTTTGTGCTCGGTTATCCGATCGTGATGAAATTTTTTTTGATTCCGCATAATTTTTCGAGATCTTGCAAGCCGCAAACCGCCATTTGGACCCCCCTTCGTCCCGAAAAAACGTCGTTTGCTACCCCGAACGAGCCTTTTTTCTATTTCGTCAAACTTTGAACGATCATAACTTTGTGCTCCACAATCCGAAAATTATGAATTTTTTTTTATTTTGCATAACTTTTTGAGGACTACAATTTTTAGTAGGAGAGAATTTTCAAAAAATGAATTATTTTGGATATACGGGCCTTTGGGAATAAGTTTACCTTCTCTTTTCAGGAATCCAAGTACATTCCGAAATTATGTCTATGATAAAAATTGTAGTCCTCAAAAAGTTATGCAAAATCAAAAAAAAAATTCATGATTTTCGGATTGTGGAGCACAAAGTTATGATCGTTCAAAGTTTGACGAAATCGAAAAAGGCTCGTTCGGGGTAGCAAACGACGTTTTTTCGGGACGAAGGGGTGGCCAAACCGCCGCCAAAGTTTGCGGCTTGCAAGATCTCAAAAAATTATGCGGAATCAAAAAAAATTTCATCACGATCGGATAACCGAGCACAAAATTACGTTTTTTTAAAGATTTGACGCAGGTCAGGCCTTCACCGTTTTCCTCTAACACGGTGATGCAATCACCGCCTTCCTCTACAGCGGTGATGCAATCACCGTGTTTCTCTAACGCGGTGATGCACTCACCGCTCTTCTTCAACGCGGTGAAGCAATCACCGCGTTAGTCTGACGCGGTGAAGGCCCAAACATGCGTAGATTGGGAATTTTTTTCATAACATGTGTATTTTGAGAATTTTTTTTAAAAACATGTGTATAGTGGGATTTTTTCCTCAGATTTAAGTGTATAGATTGAAGTTTTTAATGTAAAGAAGTATCGTGCGTGATCCACAACATTAATTATAATATATAATAATAATAATATAATATATAAAAGCTTAGGTTGAGAGTTATTATTCATTAGTGACTTTCACACTCCTTCAAGTGCAAGTGGGGAACCCCAAACACATTAATTAATTAATATATAAAACCTTAGGTTGTGAGTTACTATTCATTAGTAGCTCTCACACTCATCCAAGTGCAAGTGGGGAAGTTCCAAGTTGTTTCTTTTACCCCACTTTCCATTCTACAACCTTTGTGTTTAGCTATTGTTCTCTAGGTTTACATCTATTGAACCCAAACACAAGGGTATTCTAACTTGAACCCAAGGCTGCTACCACGAGTTTTGTATCGGGACCGAGTTTCATCCACTTTAGTGTTTTTTCTTTCTCCTTTTCCTTTTTGTTGAGCATCATCACATGTTGAACCTCAAACACAAATCATAGCATTTTCGCACCATTTCGCAACATAGCTCGAGACACTATCGGTGGAATCCTGAGTTGTCCTCTTCCACCGTTTGCCATGGCCGTAATCAAAGATCCATACTAGATATGCTCTGCCCAATCCTCAACATCGCTCACCAATTCACAACTTTCTCCAAACACTGTCAGCGGAATCCTAAGTCGTCCCCTTCACCGTTTCCCAATGCCGCTACATAAAATTCATACCAGATCTGCTCAATGTTGGCGAGTTTTGTATCGGGACGGAGTTTCGCCCGCTTTATTGTTATTTTTCTTTCGCCTTTTCCTTTTTGTTGAGTATCATCACAATTGAACCCAAATCCATGGGTATCCAACCTAATTCGATTCGGTGAAAGTGACTTGAAACTGACTTTAGTATTTATGAATTTCTCCTTTTTCTTTTGGTTGGGAAGACAATTGAACCCGAATCTAAGTTATTAACGAGTGTTGTATTGTGAGCGAGTTTTATCCGCTTTTGTAGTTGGCGGGAAGGACCAAGTGTTAATTTATTAAAAAATTGGTCAAAGCGAGTGGAACACGTTGTTGACCAGTTTTAGATCGAAAGCGAGTTTTGTATGCTTTAATGTTTTTTATTTATTGATCATTTTCTATTTTGTTGAGAACAACAATTGAACTCTGACCCATTGTTGACGAGTTTCGTATCGAGAGCGAGTTTTATCCTCTTTTGTTATTGACAGGTTGGGTAAATTGTGACTATGTTAAAACTGGGTTGACCTGGTCAAAGCGAGTTGAACGCAGTGTTGAGAGTTTAGAGTCGTGGGTGAGTTTTATCCACTTAAATATTTTTTTACCTTTTATCTTTTGATTGACAATTGAGTCCAAATGCATGAGTATCCAATTTAATTCGACCCGACCAAAGCGACTTGAACCCGGTGTTTACAAGCTTTTGGCGTGAGCGAGTTTTATCTATTTTTGTAATTGGTGGGATGTGTTAGGTGTGAATTTTCTCAAATCTCAGTTCAACCAGGTCAAAGCGAGTTGAACATGGTGTTGACGAATTTTGAGTCGGTAGCGAGTTTTACCTTTAGTGTTTTTCATTTCGCCTTTTCCTTTTGTTTGAGAAAGACATTTAAACCCAAATCTATGAGCATCCAACCTAATTTGACCAGATCAATGCGAGTTGAAACTTCTCAAACCTGCAATCAGTCCCGAAATTCCATAAAGGAGAACTACGATTACCTCAAACCCAGAAAAAAAGGAGTATGCCTATGTTTGGCCCGAATTTTAGAAGTTTTATGTTTCAAAAGGTGAAGGCAAGCCAAACAGCTTTAAAGTTTCGCTTTTTAAAAAGATGAAGTTTTTCATAATTTAAAAGTAGAAGCTCCGATTTGAAAATACAAAATTGTTCTTACCATATATTATTCTTTTTCTAGAAAATAATTTTCTTTCGTTTATATCACTGTAAAAAATAAATTGATAATAGTATTTAATATGAAATAAATCTAACATGATCCATTTTAAACAATTTTTTATTTTTAGAATTTGTATTCATATTTTATGTTAGAATTATTTTTTTAATAATTTACATGACCTCTTATATTAGAAAGTAATTCTGATAGTTTTGCAACTAAACACTCAACTGTTTTTTTCAATACTTCTTGAAAAAATTCAGTGAACCTGCTTCATTCTGCAATAGTTACAGCAGGATCAACTACTAGTCATACAAATTGAAACAATAGCGTCATGAGAGAAGTTTAAACATAAATAATCTATTCAACGACCCTTCTACCTTATGCAAGTTCATCGACCATATGCTATTGTAAATAAAAAACTTATGAAAAGAATGATTAAGAATGAAATAAGATTACTTTCACTTTTGGGTCAACATTAAAAATATTACTCTTTAAAATATTTATTTTTTTATACGCGAAGCGGTAGTGAGCGGGGTTTTGCTAGTTAATTATAAATTAATATATAAAAGCCTAGATTGTGAGTTACTATTCATTAGTAGCTCTCACACTCCTCCAAGTGCAAGTGGGGAAGTTACAAGCTCTTCTTTTACCCCCCTCTCCATTCTATAACATTTGTGTTTAGTTATTGTTCGCTAGGCTTTCTTCCATGATTTTTTCCACAAATCATCGCCTTTCTGTTTTGTTATTGTTCACTAGGTTTTCATCTATAACTTTTTGTACAAATCATCGCCTTTGTGTTTAGTTATTATTCGATAGGTTTTCGTCTATGGTTTTTTGCACAAATCATCGCCTTGGCCCACCATTTTGCAGCCATCTTGAAAACTGTCGGCGGAATCCTAATGCCCCGTTTAGTATTCATTCTGTTTTTTGTTTTCTGGACAACAGAAAAGGGAATTTAAAGAAAAGGAATCTGTCATTTCCTGGGAAACAAAATCTGAAGAAAACTTGTTTAGCTGAGAATTTAGAGAGTTCTGAAAATGAAACCTGGAAATGAAAAATTGTTTAGATACAGTTATTACAAACTGATTTCTGTTTTCAATGGCAATCTTGTTTTAAACAAATAAACAAAATACTACTACATCAACCAAATATTTTAAGAAGTACAACTACAATAACAAATATAAATAAGTGAAAACATCAAATAACTCCTGCTTGAAAGTCATTCCACAACTTGTCTGCTATTTCATCACGTCGAATTTCCATTGCCCGAGTTTGAGTTGAACTGACATCATACACTTCAGTTTGTTGTACTCCCTGGACTTCTACATCACACTGTTGGTATTCGTCAAACAAGACGTCTTCATCACAATGGATCTTGATGAAGTTATGTAGCACACAAGTAGATATAACAATTTGCGCTTGCTTCTTGAATGGGAAGCAAGGCATATGTTTTAGAATTGGAAACCTAGCTTTCAAAACTCCAAAACAACGCTCAATAACGTTGCGTAGGGACGAATGGTAAAAGTTAAACAATTGTTTACGATTTTTTGGGCCACCTGCACGGTTAATCTCTTGGAAATGAGAAGATTCTCTTGTCCGGTAGGGTGCTAAAAATCCCGGCATGTTTGAATATCCAGAATCAACAACATAATATTTACCTGGAAATTTTTTAGAAGTCAATTAGTTATCCACTAAATTTGCGATCTATATAGATATTAAAAATTATTCATTACATACCTCGCGGCGGCATTGGAAATTTATTCTCTGGATTAGAAACTGTTTCCAGCAAGAATCCTAGAATCATTTGCCGTGCCCTCCCAACCTGCCATTACATAGGTGAAAAGCATGTCGAAAGAACATGCAGCCATCACATTCTGAGTAGTTGTTGTCTTTCGTCCTCGGAAAGGTATTTGCTCGCCGGTTGGAATAGATGCATCAATATGCACTCCATCTATTGCCCCAATACAGCTCTAAGTTACAAAATAGATAATGTTAGATGAACATGATATAAAATTGTTGAACCAACTATAAAGGAAAGTAACTTAATTTACCTCGAAATATGGTTCATATTTTGAACCAACTATTTTTTCAGGAACTTTATCGAAATTTGGGGGAACAATGTACTTGTTTGAAAGCTTCACCACTACTTTCAATACTTTACCGAAGTACTTAGAGATGGTGGTTGTAGAGTGCTGAAACCTTTCAGCACCATCTCGAAAGTCAATGGCATGACCTAAAGTTCGTAGGAAGATTGCCACTTGTTCTTCAACAATGACTCTCTTGGTAGATTCCAACAATCCTTGTTGTTTCAATTCATCGCATAAAGCAATAAATGTTTCTTTATCAGTTCGTAGTTCTTCATATATCCTAATCGGATGACCACGCAAAAGTTCTTGAACCCATTGATGTCCTGGCAATTTCGAGTTTCTACATGGTTCTTTAGGCAAATTCAATCTCTCATTCTCCAACAATGCCAAATATATTATCAGATTTCTATGCATCTCATCATCAGAATCTGTATCAGAACTTGCCATTCCGTTTCTGCATAGATAATATATTGGAATTAGAAAATGCACAAACAAACTTCAAATACATAATACTTGTTCAAACAAACACTTGAACAAACTTAATCCAAAATACAATCATCACATAACCCTGTTTAGTAACCATAAAATGGCCACAGATACATGAAATAAACAAAGCTCCATAAAACATACAGCAAACGTAAATACTCAAACTTGAACTCTAAAACACATCATCATCAAGTGAAGCCCTCTTTTCAAGCAAACCTTAGCAAACATCAAACCAAACTTCCTAACCACTCCATCCTTCTCTTCTCCGTCATGCGTAAGAAAAGCCCTCTTTTTAATGGCTGGTCATGTAAAATATCTAAAGCCTTCACAAAAATATCAGCATCCACATCCAAATCATCCAAAACCTTCATGCATTCAGTCATGATATCTAAATCCTTATCTGGTGAAGTTACTTCATTCACTGGACCTCTGATAGAAGAGTTGGCTTGAGAAGCCATACGCATCTCATTCTTCATTTTTGCCAAATCAGCCATGTCAACTATTGCCTTCTCTATGGTAGAAGAGAAGGTTGATCTAACTGCTTTTCTCTTTTTCCCTTTAGAATTTGCTTTGCCCTTCAATTCCTTTGCAAGTTCAGTTGTCTTATCCATATTACTTTCAGAAACTTTCTCCTTGCTATGATCTTCACTGCTGCTGTCTATAATCTCCTGTGTAGAAGGTAGTGCATCGTTTCCAGTAGCGGTAGTATCCCCATAAACAATGCAAAGTTTTGGATACTCCGGGCAACCATACTTCCTAATGCTCTTAGCCACTTTATCCAACTACAAAAAAAAAATATATTTGAATCAATTCAACGTTTAAAATAATAAACATACAAAACTTCACAATAGACAAAGAGTCAATTACCTTTTCCCATCTTTCCCAACGTTCATCAGAGCCATCGATCTTCCCTGTTGCCGTAGTGTAACTAACTCCAGTCTCACTAATGATTGTCGTGAAAACCCTATGCTTTCTCCTCATCTGATTAAACTTGTTCTTTAACTGATCTTCATTCCAAACCTTCCTAAACTTGTTTGTCAATCCATTCATTATGTTTGCCCAGCCTACCTTTGAAAAAGTAGTGGTAGTTCTATTTCCATTCTTCACTTCTTCCACCATCAAATCAATAAGATAAAACTTGACCTCATTAGGCCATACTTCCTTTCCTTCCGCCATTACATAACCATTCTTGTTTTGAGCCTCATTATTGTCCATGATAAGAACTAGTTACACAAGTCACTCATATTAGATATACAACAATAAAAGTAATTAAAAGTAATTAAACCCGCTTTAGTGTTTTTTTCTTTCACCTTTTCCTTTTTGTTGGGGTCATGAGCGAGTTTTATCCGCTTTAGTATTTTTTTTATCCTTTTCCTTTTGGTTGAGGATGAGAATTGAGTCCAAACGCATGGGTATACAACCTAATTCGACCCGACCAAAGCGATTTGAACCCGATTTTACAGGTTTTCAACGGGAGCGAGTTTTATCTGTGTTTGTAATTGGCGTGTTGTGTTAGGTGTGAATCTATCCAAAACTCGGTCAAACCAGGTCAAAGCGAGTTGAACCCGGTGTTGACGAGTTTTGAGTCGGTAGCCTGTTTTAGCTTTAGTGTTTTTCATTTTGCCTTTTATTTGAGAAAGACAATTGAACCGAAATCCATGTGTATCCAACCTAATTTGAAAAGATCCAGAGAAGCTGCTTCATTCTGCAAAAGTTATAGCAGGATCAACTCCTAGCCATACACATTGAAACATTGGCATCATGAAAGAAGTTTAAATATAAATAATCTATTCGACAACCTTTCCACCTTATGCAAGTTCATCGACCATACACTATTGTAAATTACAAACCTATGAAAAGAATGATCAAGAATGAAATAAGATTACTCACTTTTGGATCAACATTAAAACCATTACTTTTAAAAATATTTATTTTCCTGATACGCGAAGCGATAGCGAGTGGCCTTTTGCTAGTACTTACTACCAATGCATGGATAACATAATACCTGGATTGTCTTTTTGTTAAAAACCATAGTACACGGTCATATTTGTTCAAAAATAATTACCATCTAATATATTTCACCATTAATATAACAAAGTCACTTCATCCCATTTAAGAAAGACCCAACTTGAGGTGTCAAATCTTTACCAACAACTATCTTCTCAACTCAAGGATAGACAGGAAGGGAAGAGTTGTCGTAATCTTGGTTTGATATGGAGTCCCTTAGATGGGATGGGAGGGGAGGGAACATGATTAACCTATTCAATATTCACGTAGAACAGGGGAATTCATCCATTTAATCACCTCCAAGTCCAACTTGGCCTTTTGGTTACACTGTTTAAGTAGACCCAACTAATTAATTAAGTGCCCTGAATCTCTAGCCATGACTTGCATTTGATGACTTATATGGCAGAGTCAAGAATGTCCAACAAGTTGGGCTGCGTGGGTTGATCACGATCAAGATATTTAACAAGCCCTACTCAATTAATTGCACAGCCCTGATAGCTCCACTCTGTCGAAGAACATCAAGTTGGCAGACACCCATCTGAAAACAGGAAAGTATGAACTGGTGGCCGAAACCATGGCTTTTTAGGAAGGTCCCCCATGAATAATCGAGACGCATATCAAACTGAAACTCAACTACCTTTTTGAATCGGTAACTAGAACCTAATAAAGTAATTGAAGAAGCAAAGCAATATTATATGGAGATGTGTAACTAAACTCTGCCTTTCGTTCATCTGTGATCATGAATTAAAGTAATTCGAGAAAAAAAAAAAGAGAAAAAGCAGAGCTCACATCCTGCCGGCCTCTGGGGAATTCACACGACCCGCCTCCAATTGGATGGGAATACGCAACGCGCTTTTCACATCATCGCTCGCGGCTTTTTTGTTTGGTTGCTTTTTCCACTGGAGCTGGCCAAGTGGCATTCCCCATCTCTTGCTTAGACTATAGACCTCCAAAGTCTCTTTCTTTGTTCCCAGGAAAATAAGGTCTCTGTCTCTCTGAACGATTCGAATATGAAAGATTTTGTGATGTATAGTGATATTTCTCATTAGTATAAAGGGGATTGATGATAACAGATAAAATCCCCAGAGTTGATACAAGCTACTGCAATTAGTAACGCAATACATGTAGGAATTGAACATAAAAGAATGAAAACAAAAAAACCCAAGAAGGAAGAGGAGATTTGAGTGTGTCTATACAGTTTTCTGCCTATGAATTAACAAAAATTGTCAATGATCAAGTACTCTGTTTTTCTATGGTATAAGAACAAAACTAAAAAAACAGAGAGATGGAGGGAAGGAAGGCAGTTAATGTCCGACGCCGGGGCTGGGGACAGAGCGTAGGATCCGATCAATTTGGGCGAGGTGCCTCTGGAAACGCTCCACATTATCCAGCGTGGAGTGACCCTTCTTGCTCGGAGAAGAAGCTGGGACTGTGCCCTTGGGAAGGGCACTTAGAAGCAAGCTCTGGAACAGAGACGGCACGCTAATTGCTCCGTCGCCACCACCGCCGCGGCTATTCTCCAGTAGCTTTCTTGCTTCCGTGTTGGGGACAAACGTAGCTGAAACAACGACGACCAACAGGATCAACGCAACACCGGCAACACGAGCCATTTCTAAACGAGAAATTGTGTGTTGGAAAACAGGGGAAGAGCAGAGGACCTGGGTTTTTGTTCTTTGCTTTGGTGGGTGATTAAGCAGGGGAGGTTTAAGGGAGTAGGGATGAGTTTTTTCGCAGTGGATTTAATGAGTAGGGTTTGGTAAGGAGAAGGGGGATTATATAGGATTGGTGGGTTGGGGGAGGAAGTTAGGCAAGAGAGAGTGGCGGAGTCAAAATTTTGTTGAGACGGTTTGATGGGGATGGAGATTGAAAGGCAGGAGGAACATACCAAGACTAATTAAAAATTTGGCGCTTTTTTTTTTGTTTTTGTTTTTGGGGGAGTTAGTTGGATGGAGGCTGAAAAGGAGCGCATAAACAGCCGCGTGGATGCTAATTAACGATGGCTGGGGTTTGCTGGACTGAGATAGCCGGCCGAGGGAGCACCGTCAAATTTCCCAGCCTTATTGGGGAGCCGTCCACCGTCCATCTCGCGGCTCCGCTTAGCTCCTCGCAGTTTTCTTTCTTTCCGCGCTTTCTGCTCGACCGGATAATGGAACAAGTCTCAAGGTTCATAACACACCCTATTAGATAGGGTCATGAAATGATATCTAATCAAGAGCAATTGTCGGTCTTGGATATCCATCAATAGATTGAAATATTTTGGGATTTATAAAAATGTTATATATAAATAAAATTTGCTAGATATTGATATTTTTAGTGGTGTTATCACTATATTCTTTAATAATTGCAAGATCATGAGTTGAAATTAGTAACACTATCACTAATTTTGTTTAAGGGACTGTCAAGCGTTTGTTGGGTGGGGATATGCGGTTGACATGCGGAAAGCTCTATGGATTTTGCTTATGGCCAATTCTACAATGTCATAACTAACTTTTTTTCTGCAACTGGTTTTAGCCTCTTCTCTCCCCGCATGAAACATTTTTCATATCACGTCGCGCGTAGATGTAACAAAAATGTTCATCTTGTGGCAAAAGAAGTTTGCTTGTTGATAATTTGACAAACAATCAACCAATTCACGTCCCTTTCTCTTTTTTTATTTTGCGAGTAAGGCCTTCAAAACAAAAAATAATTGTGTAGGACTTCAAAACATTTTTTTTCATCTCACTTTTCCTGTTTCAGGATATCGATCTATATAAAGAATTACAAAGAATAACATACATTTCCAAAGTCAGGGGGTAAAATACGAACCTTCCTAACAGACTCATCACCCATGCAAGTTTTCTTCAGTGGAATCAACGGATCCAGAATTCAACACGGGCGGGCGTGTGGAAATTGCGTAACGGGAAATGAGGCGGCAGTCCTTATTTATTACGATGGTGAAATATGACCATTATGGTCTTTCATTTTTTGTTGATTTTCTTCTTCTTTTCTATGATCCCGACGGCCATCACAGAAAACCTGGTGGGACGGCAACCATGGCGGCGACTCAGCGGTGGAGCCGGAGCTAGCTAGATGTTGAAGCCGACGTGCGAAAGGGACATGACAGAAACGTGATGATTTCCCGTTTCCGTTTCCGTTTCCGTTTCCGTAGCTGAACTTGAAGCTAGGGCAGGTTAAAGATTCTCACTAATCATTATGGGGATTGTTTGGAATATGGGGAGTAGGAAAGGAGAAGGCTTGTTAATTAATTAATTTCAGCAAGAGTTTAAATAAAGGTACTATTTGGATTTAGCTATGCTTACCAATTACCATACCGGTTTTGCCGTTTAATAATATTGTTAACAAATTCGTTAAGTACAATAATGTTAAACTAACTTCGATTTATGAGAATTTTTTTTTTTTGTTTTGATGAGATCAGACTGCTTTCCTTTCAGAAAATAAATTAGTATCACGTAACCACTTTGATTCCACAATTATCAGCTACATTGGCAAAATGCATGTGACCACTCTAGCAAACAAAACTGCTGATAGTGATGTTACACTTAGAATTATCAACCTAATTTGTTTTTTTGTCACTCGAAATAATTACACTAATGGATTTCCATATCTTTCCACACATCATCATCTTAAATTTTTAATTATTTTCTACAATGCACCAAATCCTCTTATCGGGCTCAAGATAGAGTGCATAACCATGGGTTATGCACCCATCAATAACCAAATCTGGACCCTTCATTTAGAAAATCCAGATCTAAGGATGGAGAATTAAAGATTATTTTTATTTTTTCTAGCTTTCTTAATCGGCTCATATCTTTTTCGTTTTAACTCGGATTTTAATTTTTTTTTTTTTTGCACAGATGGAACGAGTTCATCGTGCTCTACAAAATGAGATCAATTTTCAATATTTTTTTAGAAAAAAAAATTCTGACCTCTCGGTACCAACTGCATACCATATGGTATATTCTTCGTTTTTAATTCATTTTTTAAAATGTTTGCACAGAAGGGACGAGTTCATCATGATATAGTGGATCTACAAATTTCTGGGTGAACAAATTACAGGACCAAAAAATACCACACAATACCATACAATACCACCCTGGTACGGGGTGGTATCTTGTAGTACACAATGTTAAAAGTCGTAAATGAAAGTTAATATACTTCTACTATCATGTATTCAATCATCCTACAGTCTTGGTTATTTCATACCACCATGGTACGCTTTTCAAACCATAGGTATGCTCTTATTTCAATACCATAATGGTATAGACTGGTAAAAAATAGCTCAATTTTTTTTGTTCGAAAAATATATCAAAGTGGATATCATTTTGAAGAGCACAATTAATCTGATCTAACTGTGCAAAAAAATTAAATTTCGATTTAAAATGATTGAGAAATCGTTCGTCAAAGATTAAGGAGAGAAAAATTAAAGGCTTTTCAGGAGAGAGAGGAATGCTGATGTCATGCTGATGTGGACGAGTTACTTGTTTGAACCTAACTGAGTGTAGGAGTGAGGTTCGAGTGAGTTTGGGTCAAGAAGAAACGCAAGCGTCGGGTTTGATCGGAGGGATAAGAATTAGAGGGTTGAGCGAGAGTGAGAATCAGAATTTTAGAAAGAGAAGTAGTTGCAATAGAGTGAGAATGGCGAAAAATGCGATCCCCTCACTCACCGTAGTAAATGCCATATTTATAGGCTTCATGGTGGTGGGTGAGTGGTTGACTCAAGAGGGGATACAATGATGTGACTACTGGCATACTAAGGATTTTAGGCCATCCCTCTACCCAGGACATGTCAGAGACCTGTCCATGGCCCTGATGTGACTACCCGCTGGGGGGGAAAGCTGCGCTTCTCTCATCCTCTGATTTGGCCTACGCTTGTCCTCTCTTAGCGCATGTAATTCATTCCGCGCTTAAGCTCTTTGCGCCAAGACGTGGTTAGCTATGATGAGGCGGCGCGCTCGGGGTCCTCGAGCCGCCGCGTCGGGGTCTATTTAGTTGCGCCCGGTTCCTTGGCGTGGTTAGGCCCGAGTCCTATGCCCAACAATTGCCCCCCATCAGGGGGTGTTTTGTGAACGCCCCCTGTTTGGACTTCTTCTTGACAGACTCGGGCCGTTGTGATCTTCGTGGGGCGGGTCTTTTGGGCCTATTCCGCTTGTAGCAATTGGTTGGCGCCTACGTGCGCGATAATATGGACCGGTGTCACCTTGCACTGATGGCATGCGCTGTCGCGCTCGTTGTTGGGCTTCGTTCGCTGCGCGCATCCTCCAGCGTTTGAGGATTAGTCATGATGCGCGTACGGGGTCGTTTTCTTCGCGCGCGTTACACTGACGGCATGCGCTTGCGCGCTCGTTGTTGGGCTTTGTTCGCTGTGCGTGATTCTAGCGCGCGATACTCGGCGATGCACGCATGGGGTTGTTTTCCTTTCGTGGCGCGATGCGTGTTTTTCTTTTCCTCGCGGGTATGTCATGCCCCCCAGGCGGTGCGCGGCACTTGTGGCGTCGCCGACTAAAGCCTATGATCGTAGGTATCCACGTGTCCTTGTGTGGTTAGGCTACTTGGGCGGGGATTTTTTGAATTTCGAAAAGATTTGGTGGGATCTGACGGTTACGGATCCCTATGTGGCTTTAACCTTTCGCCTTCCGCTGGCCGACTTTGGCCCTTCGCTTTCCCCCTGCTCAACTATAAATATAAGATTGTTTCGGAGAGGAGGGCTCACTTGTTTCCTCCGATTATAGCCTCACTTTCCTTTCCCTGAGATTTCCCTCTTCCTTCACTTTCCTTTCTTGAGATTCCTCTCCTCCTTCTGCAACCTCAATCCTCTTCTGCTGTTGTTCAATTTCAAGTCAATATCATGTCAAGCATCAACAACCAGGAGGCCGAGGTCGTACAAGGCGAAGAAGGTAATTTCTCCCCTCTCTCGCACACTTCTTCTGACCATTCCGGTGATGGGAATGGTGGTTCTGGGGATTGGAATGGCGGATCTGACGGCGGAGACGGCAGCGGTGACGGTGGAATTCCGGCGACGCCGACGTTCGACGCTAGGTCGGGCGATGGGGCCGGGAGCTCTTCTGATGTGGGTATATTCGCTTCCGGGAGTGGGGAGGCGATGCGGCCAGCTCGGGGGGTACTGATCATCCGGCGTAATCAGGATGGTAGACCGGTCGTCGGCGATGAAGCGGCCGACGATGAAGTCGCCGACGATGAAGTTGCCGACGATGAAGTCGGTGTCGATGATGACGTCGCCGACGAGATGGCGCAAGGGGATTTTGGTGCGCAATTCGCACCGCGCGCCGTCGAGCGTGTTACCGAGGCCATGGCCCGCTTGGGGCCGCAAGGTGTTGGCGCTACGTACCGCGTGATCGAGTGGGCCGAGATGTGGGGTGACCAGCCGGCGCCGTCTGACAACCTCAAGCGTGGACCCGAGCACTCCTCGACATATGACGTGGATGATGTGGAGGAGTTGGTTCGCGGACTGGGCTTGCCCCCCAACTGGGAGTACGCTGCTCCGTCGGTGCGCAGCATGGTGGGGAATTGCCCCCCTGGGTGGTTCGGAGTATACGCGGAATACTGGGTGATGGGGTTCAAGTTCCCCATCGACCCGTTGTTGTGTGCCATA